ACATATACAAGGGGTAGGATACTGGGCTGTTTATCTTGTCTGTACATAATACATGGTACACAAGAATATTGTCACAAGCATGACATAAGGATGTGTTTTATGTAACAACATAGCATGATAAAAGGGCTAACAATGGGTGTTTGTTCTTTGACAAGATTAGTTGACAAGCAAGGATGGGTACTGTCATGACATATACAAGGATGTGTACTGTCATGACAAGATACAAAGATGGGTACTGCCATGACAAGATACAAGAATGGGTACTGTCATGACAAGATACAAGGATGGGTTCTGTCATGACAAGATACAAGGATGGGTACTGTCATGACAAGATACAAGGATGGGTACTGTCATGACATATACAAGGATGGGTACTGTCATGACAAGATACAAGGATGGGTACTGTCATGACAAGATACAAGGAAGGATACAAGGATGTGTATTGTCATGACAAGATACAAGGATGTGTACTGGATGGGTATGACATACAAGGATGGGTACTGTCATGACAAGAAACAAGGATGGGTACTGTCATGACATGACAAGATACAAGGATGGGTACTGTCATGATACAAGGATGGGTACTGTCATACAAGGATGGGGTACAAGGATGGGTACTCATGACAAGATACAAGGATGTGTACTGTCATGACAAGACAAGGATGGTGTACTGTAATGACAAGATACAAGGATGGGTACTATCATGACATATACAAGGATGAGTACTGTCATGACAAGATACAAGGATGTGTATTGTCATGACATAAGGTTGTATTGTGGTGTTCATCAGTGAAGACACATTTCCACTTTAACTAGAAAACGGGGCGTTGGGGTAGCCTATTGGTTAAAGCGTTCGCTCGTCACGCTGAAGACCTGGGTTTGATTTCCCACTTGGGTAGAATGTGTGAAGCCGATTTCTGGTGTCCCCCGACTTGATATTGCTGGAATATTGCTAAAAGCAGCATAAAACTCAACTCACTCACTCACTCAATTTCAAAGATTATAGGAGTGCTTCCGGTGCAGCTAATTCCCCACCCAGTGTTGGTGTATGTATATAATTTATATACACTGGGACGGGAGCTATGTGGAGTATCCATTTGGTCAGTAGGTGACTGCCTGGCATGTGTTGGCATGTGTATACAATGTGTATACACCTGTCTGGGAAGCTGCCCATACCACATCCTGAACACACCGAGCCAAGGTGTGTAGGGGTACCACTGCAAGATGCTTGTCACTGTGTCAAGAATCTGTCTACAAGAGGATGTATGCATAAACAAGTTCTCATCTGTTTCCTTCCTCACCTGCGTTCACTCCAACAGATAATTTTATCAAAATATTTCACATAGAGCTTCTCAGTGGTGTTCCCCGCTGTCATATTGCTGGAATATTGCTAAAAGCAGTGTAAAAACACACTCACTCACTCAATTTCTAAAACTTTATACGTTTGATCAAGATATAATGTCATAACTGCTAATGGCTAAAAACAAGGATGAAATACCCCTGACAAACACATGCCGACAGTGATTTAGGAAAGTGACAGATTCAATTCATTAAACAATGCAGTGGTCATGAGGATTAGGAATGGAGATTAGCATCATATATATATATATATATATAACTGCAGAAAGTAACATATGTCTTGGCTGCATATTATACATAGTATTTGACCTTTTGAACTAATGGCTGCCCTGAATCAATCACTATGACAAATCTCCATACACAATTGCCAGAAACTGACAGATCCAATCTTGCACAATCTTAACTTGCCTCTCCTAACCTCTATACTTACCACAGTAGTGAGTATGATGATTTTACGTCGCTTTTAGCAATATTTCAGCAATATCCCAACAATATTCCAGCAATATCACGGCAGGGGACACCAGAAATGGGCTTCATACATTGTAACCATGTGGGGAATCGAACCCAGGTCTTCGGTGTGACGAGTGAACGCTTTAACCACTTGGCTACCCCACAGCCCCTTTTAGATCAGGAGATTGGTTTGGCCAAATAGAAAATATAACTATTGTTTCCAACTACAGTGAGTGAGTGAGCATGGTTTTACACCGTTTTTAGCAATATTCCAGCAATATCATGGCGGGGAACACCAGAAATGGGCTTCACACATTGTACCCATGTGGGGAATCGAACCCGGGTCTTCAGCGTCACAAGCGAACACTTTAACCACTAGACTACCCCACCCCCTTCTTACCACAGACTTACAGTATCTGATGGTAGGTGGTCTGATGCCCAGGCTGTGTCGTAGCAAAAAATGCTAAAAGATTGTACTTTTTGTTATCAGGTCTGTTACAATATTAAACAAACTTTATGGATAACGACTTCTTGTATTTTAACATGTTATATTTGGGATTACACTTTCTTTGTAAAGTACAGATTCTAGTACTTTTGTTGGGTTGAGTCCCATCCGGGATTCTTGTATTTTGTTAACGCAACATTTCGATACAGATCCTTGTTGTCGAGCTTGACAAGGGTACAAGAATCACATTCCTGCTTCACAACAGTACAAGAATCTGTATTGTTGAAATATTGCACTCATGAAATATAAGACGTTGTTATCCATAAAATTTGTTCCATATTGTACTTCCCAACTTCTAAAATGCCACTCAAAGTAGGGTCTGGTTCAACACAAGAACTGTCTGCTCAGGGGGGTCTAGGACAATTGCCATCAGGATAACTGTCACCTCGGACAATTGCCACCAGGACAACTGCCACCTCGGACAATTGCCACCAGGACAACTGCCACCTCGGACAATTGCCACCAGGACAACTGCCACTTCGGACAATTGCCACCTCGGACAATTGCCACCCAGGACCATTTCCACCCAGTCAATTGCCACCCGAAACATAGAAAAAATATTTCGGTTTCTTTACCAACTTTTATTGAGCTTGACATGGTAATCCATAACAAACATTAACTAACATTACTAAAGATTTCTTGAATATTGTTTGAGCTAAAGGTTGTTTTGGTCCTGAAATCATTCGTTGGATAAATATAATTGTCCTACTCCCATCTCAGAGGGGTAGCCATGTTAAACTTTGGCTTGTTATCTCAGTGTACAAGCACAGACACACACACCGACACTTACGAGACACACACATGCACACACTTACACACACATTACTATAAGTGTAATAATCTTCAACATGACATTAAACCCCTTTTCAGCTCTACAATCGCAGTGGGTCCAGATAAGAAATGGCTGAGGTTGCAAAAGGATTTGAACCCTGTACTTGAATGGTTTAAAAAACATTTCCATATTGTTTCATTTAGAATAAGTTTTGAAAGCAAGTTTCAGCATCTTTGAGCTATAATGTGCTTTGAGCTATGGTAAGAGTCTGGTCCGTCTCCACATTCATATGATGATAATCCAAACACAGCACTTACAGCGGCGAACATCAAAGACTACTTCGCTGCATGTTTACATTGCATACAACCCCCCCTAGTAAGGAAAGCTAATTGCTTAATGATATAATGGCACTCGTCAGACCTGTGAGCCCTGAGAGAACATGCAGGAGTTTGTTAGGGTTTCCGGATCCATCCGCTCAGCTTTCTTTAGATCAGGAGCTGTAGCCGAGTTGTTAAAGCGGTGGCTCGTCACGCCGAAGGCCCTGGTTCGATTCCCCACATGGGTACAATGTGTGAAGCCATTTCTGGTGTCCCCTGCTATGATGTTGCTGGTATATTGCTAAAAGTGGCGTAAAACCATACTCACTCACTTGTTCAGATCAGCTAAACTTTATAAGGCAGTGTTGGAAGATGTCAGAAAATTGAAAATCGTTTGAGTGGTATTGTTGGGGAGGAAGTAGATTGATCCGATCTCATCCATCTGAATCTGGATCTTTATAGTCACGCTGTATATTTTAAAAAAAAAAGTAGCTATTGTTTGTGAAGGCGTAGTAACAGAGTAACAATGATTTGACATCAGAGGTGTACAGCTAGTGCTGGTGAGGTGAGGTGAGGTGAGGTGAGATTGGGTTTAACGTCGCGCTTGAGAATATTTCGCTCATATGACGACGTGCATGCGTGTGTATGTGTATGTGCGGCTGCTTGTACTAGCCCAGATTGAAGCTGGTTTTATAGTGCTAGCCCACTGAGATACCATGCCGCAGTGAAGCATGAATACCCCACTCAGACACATTATACTGACTCCGAGCCGACCAGTCCTTGTTGTACCCATTAATGCCGAGCGCCAGGCAGGTACCAACAAGTACCATATTTTAACGTCTTATGGTATGACGCGGTCGGGGATCGAACCCGCGACCTGCCGCTCTCCAGGCGGACGCTCTAACCACTACACCACGGAGGCAGTCCCTAGAGCTGGTTATGAATCCCACTATTCAAATTGATAATCAGAGCTGGGTAATCAATCTCTTATCAAATGTTTTCATAAACCTCAACATTCAAACTCATTTGGGCAATAACCAGAAACAAACATCGCATTAACAGGCACCGATTAATACTACGATCAGCATATGATATCTCAGTTCAACTCACAATTAAACAGCGACACGGCAACATTCGCAATGTTTACATTCCCTCAATGCTTATAAGTTGTAGAATGAATGAATTCGCGTGTTTGTTATGAATGAAAAAGTAGTTCCGACACAACGTGGCCTAACTGAGAGGTCATCGGTTATCCAATCAAATTGTTAGAATCTCAGGTCAAGTCGTTACGACACAGGTCAACGCGATACGAGACTCATGTGACGTACGAGATTAGTATGCAACTACCCATACGTTGACCACGTGGGTAATAAAGGTTTGTATTAACCCGGAGAAGTACAATTTATCCTGGCAGTGTTTCAAGGATGTGTATTGGTTGACTCAGATTAACAAGTCCAGATCATCACAATCATGTCCTATGGAGACCATCGCCTTTTGCTCAAAGGCAGAAATTACCCCTTTGTGATACTTATGTGTTTGTTCATAATGAATCTGTAGATATATGTTAACTTCTGACATATTTTCTTTTTCAACCTAGCTTCAGGATTGTCTCCTGATTGGTTCTGACCTCACCGGGACTCTTTACTTTTGGAACAAGATCAACGGGGAGTCAGAGGCTGCTGTGAAGAGCCATGATGCACCAGTACACAAGGTGGCGTATCATCAAGGTCGAATCTGGACAGCTTCTGGGTGAGCCATTACATGATACTGTGCAGACATTGACGGCTTCAGAGTGAGCCATTACATGATATTGTGCAGACACTGACGGCTTCAGAGTGAGCCATTACATGATATTGTGCAGACACTGATGGCTTCAGGGTGAGCCATTACATGATACTGTGCAAACACTGATGGTTTCAGGGTGAGCCATTACATGATATTGTGCAGACACTGATGGTTTCAGGGTGAGCCATTACATGATACTGTGCAGACACTGACAGCTTCAGAGTGAGCCATTACATGATACTGTGCAAACACTGATGGTTTCAGGGTGAGCCATTACATGATACTGTGCAGACATTGACGGCTTCAGAGTGAGCCATTACATGATATTGTGCAGACACTGACGGCTTCAAGGTGAACCATTACATGATAGTTAGGAGACACTGACAGCTTCTGGTTGAGCCATTACATCATAGTGTGCAGACACTGACGGCTTCTGGGTGAGCTATTACATGATACTGTGCAGACACTGACGGCTTCTGGTTGAGCCATTACATGATAGTTAGGAGACACTGACGGCTTCTGGGTGAGCCGTTAGATGATAGTGTGCAGATACTGGCAGCTTCTGGTTGAGCCATTAGATGATAGTGTGCAGATACTGGCAGATTCAGTTTGATCCATTACATGACACTGAGCAGATACAGCTCTCATGTACATGCAGTGATAGAAGATTTCCTGTTAATTTATTCCATTTTTAGTAATTCAAAGATAATTTGGGGATAATTCAGATACATGCTCCAAACTGAGACCTGAAAGGTTTCTAAATGTGCTCAGCAGCTGGAATTTCAGTTAGCATTAGAGTGTCTCTTCATGTTCATCTGTTTCACACTCCAGGCAAACATGTTTCTTGATTTCATCCTTGGCTTCACCAAACCAGACCTAACCACCTTGTGTCAATGGAGGATGTCTCCACTACTGATATATTTCTTAACAAGTACTTCATTCTAAAGTCACTCCGTGGATCAAACATAGCGGATGAGATGTTAAATTGTATCTCTCTCACTATAGACCAAGAGTTGGTACAGTGTGTGAACCCATCATCTGATGATTTTGCTGCAATAAGTAATGGAAAACTCAACCAAGTGGGTGAGTTGGAGGGACAGTTGGTGAGTGGGTGTCAGTTGATGAGTCAATGGGTGAGTCACCGGGTGAGTGGGATGTCAACCGGTGGGTGGGTGAGCCAGTTGGTGAGTAGGTGATTGGCTCAGTCAGTCAGACAGGCAGGTAGATTGTTTGAGGATTGCCTAAACTGACACAGGCTGTAGATGTTAACCTTTTTGTGAAACCTTGAAGCACATTAGGAGCTGATAAACCTATAATCAGGACACATGGAAATCGAACCTTAATCAGCCTATCCTGCTATGAATGGGGACACTACTGTGCACTCGTGTTGGGAATTGGTTAAACTCTCATAATTGATGATTGGTTCATTACAACCGATCAATCATCGAAAATAATTGGTTAGCGTCATTTATGAAATTTTCTTGGTTATTTTTGTTAATGAAAAAATAAAGAAAGAAAAAACATGTAGTTCTTGTTTTTTTTGTTGCAAACTGCACAAAATGCATTTGTAAATTTTACATCTTTAAAGGATGACTAGTATGTTAGGAACATAAATTTCTTGAAGTCTTTAAGATAAATTCAATCATGACATGGAACGAGCTTGTAGTCATTATGAAATGTAAATTTAATGACAGACAAAACCAGCCTTGTGAAAAATATTATTAATGCAAACAAATGTTCCAGAATTGTTTGTGTTCGATTATGAGAAAACATGATCGATTGCTTGGTCGTTTAATCACTGCGACCAATCTTCGATTATTTCAATTATTCGGACCACCACTACTGTGCACTACACAGAGTAAGATTTACTGACAATACCACTTCATGGTACTAGTTCAAAGCCAATAAGTCAACAAACAAAGATCTTAAGTCTTAGTTCATCCAAGTGTGAGACATTTATTGACAATCCAGAACCTACTTAACACTGTAAACATGTAGAAAATAAAACATTTTTTCCTTTGCTAAGAACCATTTCTCAAAATGTTTGAACATAGTTTAAATGAGATGCAATCTAGCTGTATTTTATTGACGGATGTTGTCTTAATATGACAAAAGTCACGAGAATTTCATTGAAGACAAACATCCTCTTTCAACATGGGAAAGTACTACAGCTGATATGTTGGACATCCCACCGTGAATGTACTTAGATTTGGCTTATTTCCCACCTTCAGATCTGGAGAATATTGCAAGTTAAATACACCCTTCATGAAGACAAGGTCTGTTTCTCGTCTTCTTAAATGCATAGCTCATCAGCGCCATGCCAACACGCAGAACAAATTTCTTCAGATGTTCAATATCTGTGTTGGCTGTGTGGTTGGCTGTTGTTTGTGCAGTGGCCAAGGCTTGTCTTCCCCTACCCAGAGGACATATAACGTCTTTCTCGATCTTCACCAGCTCAGTTTGCACCTCAAGACATTGCTTAATGGTTTCATGAATATGTGGCTAGTCTGCCATATTGCTTCCATTAATGAACAGAAAAAATGGTGTTTTGTGCAGTTTGCAAGATAATAAAATTATGAATTTTAGTGTCTGTTTTCTTAGAAATTATGAGTTTGTATTCAAAAGTTCCCATGAGGTAAGGGTATTTGGGGGAACCAAATTATAACATCTGTTGGATATATATAGCAGTATTTGAAATCAAGGGAGGCCCTGGGGTCTTTGAGCTTTGCAGCAGTAGAATTTGAACCTCAGGACCCTAAATCCTTACCTTAAGGTCTACGACAAGGATCTGTTTGAATTATATGCTCACATCTATAGTGCCCACTTCAGTATAAGTATGCAGACCACTATGAGGTGTGTTTTTGTGTGGTTTTTTTTTTGTGTGTGTGTTTTGTGTGTGTGTGTGTGTGTGTTTTGTGTGTGTGTGTGTTTTTGTGTGTGTGTTTTGTGTGTGTTTTGTGTGTGTGTGTGTGTGTGTGTGTGTGTGTGTGTGTGTGTGTGTGTGTGTGTGTGTGTGTGTGTGTGTGTGTGTGTGTGTGCTTGCTTAATATTTTGCTTTAATTTTTAAGACTGCTGCTATTGGTTTTCTCATTTGTTCAGGACTGAAGTCAAAGACCTCAAACCTGATATTGCCAGTGAATTTTTACAGCATATGGTTACATGATCTTGGAGGTCAAGGTCACTTAGGAACTAGGTGTCAAAATGGCGTTTTTGGTTCAGAACTTGAGTATTCATTAACTTGATGTAATTTAGGTGTGGTTTTTACTGTATCATATATTGGATGACCTCTGTCAGGTCCACATCACTGGAGGTCAAATCATGGAACATGTTTTAAATTTTGGATTGTATCATTAGAAAACAGCATTTTCCAACCATTATTCTCAATAATTAACTCAATACCTGTCGTATCATGGTCATGTCAAATGGCAAGGTCAGTTTCATGGTCATTAACTCAGGTATTGTTATATCCTGGAATTATTGTTATTATGGCATGTCAACTTAATGATTCTACCATCGGTGTGACTGGATGACATTGAAGGTCAAGAGCACTCATTGATAGTTTGGTATTTTTGATTCTTGATAATTTGAGTATTAATCATTGTTATTTCATTAAATGTTGTATCAATACATGATCTCTAGGGTCGGGGCTTTGACCCCACCAAATTTTGAGAGATCTTCATATCTTGTCTAGGTCACTAGAGGACAAATTATGATACTTGGTCAAAATTTCATGACATTCCAGATTTAAATATGAAAATCCAAGATAATTGCAGTCAGTTAAGAACACTAAGTAACTGACTCAACACTATGAAATCAGCTAAATATGTAGAACTTTCTGCATTGGGTGTGTGTTTTTTCAAAGTCCAGAATTAATTTTTTTAAACTGGAAGTGCTCAATAGTTTCTTGTTAAGAAAGTCAGATAAATGGTACTTAAATGGTTTCAAAATTGCACCTGCACAGGCCAGTTGTACTGAAAGTGAGGTACTTAACAAAGAAATTATTGACCTACTTAAAATAACAGGTAAGAGTTTGGGCCAGTAGAAATTTCGTGTTTTGGACAACCTAACCATATATTGTCACACCTGTAACTTTCTAGAACTTAAAGCCATGTTACCAAATTTGTATAATGGAGAAATCTGATTCCATGTGTAAAATATTGTTATGGTTGATATGTGGTGTCTCCGTAATTTTGCCTAAGGAGCTATTGTCACCTCAGTTTTATTCTTCAAATGCACATTCAAAACTTCTAGTGAATGCTTGGCTCAGAATCAACTGCAACAACAATAGCATGGTGCTAATGGTTATATTTTCGGGAGTTTCATACACTGCTTAGTGATGTGTTACTAGTCTGGGTGTGACAGGACACCCATTGTGTTGAGTACTGTAGATTTGCAACATGGATCCTCCAGCTCCCTCCCAGAGAGTTGTGACTAGGAGCGTATAATGAGTGTGATATATAGGGCCGCTGCTGCCATTATGGAGGGCCATCTTGGGGGATTTGTAAATAGCTAACGTATGTTTTGTTGTCAGCAGCTATTTCAGGCCCTCTTGAAGATTTACTACAGAGAATTATGATTTATGAATCGTTAAATCAGATGTGTATTTTGACGGATGACTAGGAGATCCAGGAATTATGCCACCGTATCTGGACTCCGGAGTAGGCCCCTTGGCATGAAGTCGCGATGGAAGTGGTTAAGTGGCTGATTAGCAGGTTGATGGCTATTGAGCATTGAGACAGAGGCAAGGCTCTTATTAGAAGTCTGTTGTAGTAATTACTGACATGAGTGCATTGCCTTTCATTTATCAACTTTGTCAAGGTACAATGGTGTGGGAGGAAAGTGAGTGAGTGAGTGAGTGAGTTTAGTTTTACGCCACACTCAGCAATATTCCAGCTATATGGCAGCGGTCTGTAAGTTATCGGTCTGGACCAGACAATCCAGTGAACAACAGCATGAGCATCGAT